TGTCTCCTGACATGCACAGATAATACGGATGAAGACACACAAATAAGATAAAAGGTAAAATCTGCTGCCAGGCAGGTGTAACAATATGAGGATATAAAGGGCTCTGTTTTGTGAATCACAATCCTTAATTACCACCATCTGCTCTCTGAGGAGGAAAAGAGGGAAAGCAGCGTTGCGCTCTGATTATGGCAATTAAAGATAAATAAGCAATTTAACAGGAGATATGCATTATTTGTTTTTCGAGGATTGCTAAAGTTGCATGATGCTTGTCTGAATTCTCCCACAGGCCTCATTGGATCCAAAACTATAAACTATAAGGGAATCGGTATTGAATTTAGAAACATTTGTATCAATAAGGAACTGTATGACAAATGAGAACACTTTGATATTTAAGAAATATTTATCCGTCAACACTCTTCCTCTGTTTTTTGTATTGGTGCTATAGCAACAGGTTGGACGGAGCCTAATTCTCTTGTTTTTCGTGGAATATCCAGTTGGTCCTTCCTCAGATCTCCTGATGTGAAAGCGAGTGAAGCTGTGGCAGCAGAGAAAGTTTGGGCAAAGGTGTAATTAAAGCTGATTATTGGGAGGCATACGGGAGGCCGCAGAGCAGCACATTTGTCTTGCCCACAAATGAGCAGAGGCTGGGAGAGCGGAATTAGCTGCCTGGCCGTCGCCTCTCCCCTGCCATGCCGCTTTGTCACAGGGACAGTGCTCCTGGAGGATCAGACGGGGTCAAGTGCGTGTGCATCGCCTGGCATTATTCTTACAGGCCGGCCCCCCCCCCCACCACCACCACAGTTCCGCCGGGCCTTGAGAATGGTGGCACTTAAACGAGCTCTGAGTCTCAGCATCATTCCGACTCCAGTCTGTGATGAGATGCATGACACTGTTGTTTTTCAACCTTTTTATTTTGTTTTAATGGGCTGCAGAGCTGTGGTGAAATAATAACAGCACATCCTAGATCACTGTTGCAAAGTGCTCTTTCATTTCCACTCGCTTCCTCATACAGTCACTGCTAGCAGCACAAGTGCTTCACACGTCCCCACTGTTGTGCTGACACTGTTATCGATGCTTTTCCCATGGGCATTAATGTGTTGGGAAATCAATACGTGTTTGTGTAATGGTTGAGTGACATGTGCTCCATCGCATTAGCTCAGCAGTGATGACAGGCCCTCATCGATGGATACAAATCAAGCTGTAACTTATCGTTAATAAGGATGATAATGGGGAGTCTGCAGATGCATTCCTGTATTTCTATGGTGAGCGGTGGCTCATGAATTACACAGAATGACCTGTTTTTAAAAATGAAAAAGAAAACTACACGACGTGAGAATATAGATTTATTACTGGCAAATTATGCGTCGTATTGATTTTTGAATAACTGCACTCTTACATAATAGTGTTTCTCTTTCTCCCTGCGGGCACTGGAATATCAATAAAGCATCGCATTTTGTAGCTTTGAATCATCAATAAATAAATAAATCTTTGAAATATGAAATATGACATTCGAAAATATGAACAGAATAATCAACTTCCAAAAGTTGAAGATGCCCATGAAGAACAGGTTCCCCTCTCAAAAATGACAGGCGTGATGTCATCTGGCACAGGTGGGAGTAATTGTCAGATTGCCAGAGCAGCAGTGACTAACACAGAAACTACAGGAATCCTGCTTCAAATGCCAGATGGATCATTTTGAAATACCTTTCCTTTTAATGGATTTAATTATTTATTGCTGCATTGCCCCAAGGTCAGGCCTCTTCTTGGTGTCTGCTGGATGGGAAGGTGAGCTGGCCCCTGGTGTCCCTGAAGCAAAAGCTTAGGGTGCTTTTATCAGACAAATTTGAATCTGGCACCAGAGCTCGAGCTGGTTACCTTTTTTCTTTCTTTTTTTTTTGCTTTACGTTGACAAGTTTGTAAAGTATTTCTAACATATCACGACGCAGTTTTGCAGTGAGTACAAATAGCTTGGACTAAATGCTATTTTTTTCTGTCTATAAAAGTAAACAGTTCCAAGCAGGATAGCTTAATCACTCTTGACTTGTAAAATTGCGTTTGGAAGAAAGAATGCTAATTAAGCCATTCCATTACAGTTTCAACGTTTATCTTTCTGTTCAAGCTAAGGTTAATGAAAGTCCGTAACGAGCTTTTGCAATGTAAGTATTTGTTGATGGGGATATTTAGCATTCTGAGCAACTTTGACCAACACAGCTTGCTATATTTTGACACATACGTATTATGTATGGAGGTGAATTGCTCCCGAAGTTTATACACAGGCTGGACTAACTGGTTATGTGGCTCTAAATATTGAGTTTCGACCGTCTTTACTTCGCACTCGTGCTGTTGCTCGCTGAAATTGCGATGGACCGCGAATGGCCACGGATAGCACTACTTGCGCCGAGGAGGAAGCGTTCAGCCTGTAAAGCGGCACTGCGGCATCGCCGTATCACTGCGCCCTGGTCTCCCTTCTCCGGGATCCTGAAGCTCCGATCTGGGGAGAGGAGGAGGAGGTACCCTATGGTTTTCCTTTGCGGGATCTATTTTGTCAGTTCCAGACCTTCTTGTGCTCAATCTTTTTTTCTTTTTTTGTCGTAAACGAAGACCTTCAACTTCTCCGGACGGTCCCTCCCCACTCGCAAGGGTTTGCATTTCTTGGTTTTGCATGACGTGTCTTGGAGCTTAAAAGAGAGGCTTGCTTTTGTTGTGTGTCTTATAGTGGAAAATGAAGCTTGGAGAGCCGGAGCAGGAGGCAGTGCCAGTCCGCTGCTGCTGTTGTGGGCTGGACTGGATTACAGAGACTGAGATCCCTACTGACAGCACAGGCGGACAAAAAGGGACTCTGAGCGAAGACAAGGGAAAGAGTCTGGGCTGAGGAGAAAAAGCCAGGGCGAGTGCTAGAACACAGTTTTTTTAATTAAGCAATATCTTGGGAGGTATTTGAGCAGTGTATGTGTCATCAGATGAGTGCTGGCACGAGGCATCAGGTTAAAGGCATAGGTAAAGAAAGGATTCAAGACCATTATTACAGTTTTAAAAGAGGCTTTTAGAAGGGGAGAATAACTGCAGGAAAGGATTATCCTCTAATGCTTTCTGAAAATTTAAACATTGCAATATTTGGATTAGGTATTTATTTGTTGTGCATGCACATTTTTTTTCTTTTTTTTCTTTACAATCAGTTTAAACTGCATGCTTAAAAAAAAGAAATCCACTTTTGCTGGGTGTAGCAGAGCATGCACATGTGCTGCAGAATCCAGATGAGCTACATTACATGACAGCCTGTGTCCAAGGAGACAATGTAAAGTTGAAGATGGTGGTTGACTGTGACAGATTGCTTTTGGTTTTGTGTGGTGATGCAGAAAAGGTGTGATTCCTCCGTGTTTGAAATGTCCACCAGGGTTAGGGAATTTACAGCCAGGTAATTATTAGAAACCCAGCAGTTTGTGGGTTCAGTTCTCCTCCACTTGCTACCATTTCAGTGATGTAATGGATGAGAATTGTTATTCTGGACACACTGAAAAGCTCTATGTGTTTTGTACCACAATGCCAGAATGACATTTTGGTGGCGTTGGGCCTAGACTGCTTTCTTTTGCGAGAGGATGATGCAGATTAAGATTGCAAGCTGTTGAATGTTGCATCCTATTATCATAAAGCAGACAGATTCCTTCAATGTCGGACAGTGAAGGTATGCCCTGCTGAGCTCTGAGTGCAGAATGACATTATTAAAGGGTCGTGACATTTGTCTCGATTTGTTATCAGTATGTCAAAAACCTCCAGGACAACTCTGTTCAAATAGACCCGCTTCCACTCTTTGGCAACATGGATATCAATGTGTTATGTTACTGTTATCTTTTTTTCATTTTATTTTTCATTTTTTTGCCATGAATGAAATTTAACTTGATTTCATTGAAAATTTAGACCATTTGTTATGGATCTTTTAGCTGGCTCTGTCAGATTTGCTCAATTCTGTTAGGTTTTAGCTACAGCATTATGGAAATGAGCTTAGCCTGATTTCTTGCACCATTATGAATCTGAAGATGTGAGTGGCACCTTTTAAACAGAAATACCCTAAACCGGAGTAACTCACTGTCTGACATAACGGTGAATAGATTATGGCAGATACCTCGGGACTGGATTGGTTTTAACCTGATTCTCAGTTTTTTAGACACATTTGCAGCCACATGCCAAATGAAATTCATACTTTCAAGACTGAAGGTTTCAAGTAAGCCAGTTAAAGACTCCTCTGCATAATGCCGTCAATAAGTCTGATTATTGAATGCAGAGTTTTGATTCAAGCTTGCTAAAGGCTGTAGAGCTGTCCGTAAAAGAGTTCTTATAACTCCTCTCATCTCTGAGTTTAATGACCTGGAGGTGTCAGACCCCCCACCCCCGACCTGAGCCCAGACATACTAATGAAACATTTATCTTTCCGTCTGCAAAGCATGCAGCACCTGTTTGGGGGTGTGTAATTGAAAAACATCATTGTTGACCTTACTGAGTGAACATGTGGCAAATGCATGTTCTTCTTCTCTTTGTCTTTACCTCCCTAGGTGGGTGAGTTTGCCAGCCTTGGGGAAGAGCAGTCGGTTCTTGTGGACGAATGATGTGGCGTCAGCTGCTCACCTCACCGCTGCGGGGCATGTTTGCTGAGCAGACATCGGCTCTAACCTAAAAAGCCCCTCCGCTGATAGAATTGGAAGCATGGTGATGACATGTTTAGTCGATCATTTTGCACCTGAGCTGCTGGGTTTGGTGGACTGCCTTTGGGGATCTTTGAGTAGAATCTGGCTTGATTGAGTGACAAGGAGCAGTTTTTCTGTGTCCGATAGAAGGCTCCATCTTTTGGATACTATCCACTCCTTTGGATATATTCCACTGAAACATTCTCTTGGAAATTACAGAGCTTCTCCTGGAGGGCGTTTTCACTCACACAAGAGGAGATTGAGTGTTGACAGTGTTTTGAAGAGTTTTGATTGCTCGCAAGAAGTATCTGGATGTTTGCCATGAAGGACATGGATGGCCCTCGATCAAGTGGCCTCCGGAAGAAGAGGAAGTCGAGGTCGGAGAGGGATCGGGAGAGGAGATCAAACGGGATAAGGAACAACCATGTTAAAGGCTCAGTGTTTCGCCTCTCCTCTGACTCAGAGCGAGAGGGTGAAAGAGAGCCCTCCTCATCCCGCCCTCGACCCCCACGAAGAAAGCGAAAGGATTCTACTTCAGCTGAAGAGGACATCATCGATGGCTTCTCCATCACAGGCTTCGTAACTCTGGAGGCTCTTGAGGTGAGTGATTAACCACGGGGGGAGCTCACTCAACCTTTAGCCTTGTGTGTCTTGTGTGTTGAACTTAACCTGGAAATATCATTAATACAGTTGTGAATCGTTCTGGATAAAAGCGTCCGAGAAATGCATACATTGAAATGGAAAATGTGTGTCCCTGACCTGGCTTTTTTTAGCCTCTGTCTGCATATTTGGCTGTGATGTAAGCTGGTGTTGCCTGAAATGCACCCTGGAGTCAGTAATTCCCTTCTGCATCACCAACAAGCTGCTGCTGTTATGCTTTCGTGCTTAACCTATGTGTTCACATGTTCACCAGATTCACCCTGTTCGGCTATGAAAGTGGTCCCTCATGGGGCTTGTGTATCTGAGAGTGAAAAAGCAATTTGATGGGTGTTACAACAGTTTATTTGGACAGGAAGTAATTTATTGTACACAGGTTATCTGTTTTCCAGGGAATGCAAACCGAGCACAGGCTGCGTCCCCGTGATCTGAATTATGACTTGTAAAGCACAACTGCTACATTTTTCTGTAATGAATCCTGGCAAGTCGAAGGAAGGCTGTTTTATTGAGGCGTTGGAGGCGCAATAAACGCCCAGAACACTTCAAAACCTCTTCAGGTGCAGAAATCTGTGTGTTATCCTGGACATTCTCATCGGGTATTTGGTGTTTTGTTAATGGAGTAAAACACACTTTACAACATGCTACAGTACCTCTCACACCTCATTTGGGGACTGCAAAGGTCACACAGTGTGATTTATTTTCATTTCTAGCTTCTGTATTTGGCTCTTTATAAATGCCACGATTCATTGATAATTACATATAAAACAGAGAGGAAGAAAAAATGAGTGTGTCAGAACTGCTGATCCACAGATGTTACAGATGTGTCTGAACCTCTGAAATACTCTTCCCTCTTCAGGCAATGTTAAGAGATTTTTTCTCTCTACATATCTCAGCTAAATGCTTTTTAATGTTTCCTGGGTTTACTGTGATCTTGTTTCAGTACTATGTGAAAATAGTCTATCCACAAGATCAGACTGAGATTTTCAGTTTGTGAAACATTTAGATAGGAGAGATAAAAATCTCTCGTCTGCTGATGTGATTCATGTCAAGGACATGTGCATGTCTCTTTGTCGGCTAGGTCCACTCCTAACGGCTCAACTGCATCTTTCTTCGTCTTCTCTTTATTTAGTGCCTCCATTGAACTGCCCCTCATGCTTCCTCTTCCTTTTTTCTCATTGCTCTGCTGGACTAAGGTTTTCTTTTTATTGATGACGGTTCAGTTTACACACAGACTGATCTGTGTCAGACAGACCCTAAGTTTATGTGGATATTCATTCTTTAGCTTTACTGATAACTTGAATGATAAATGTTTTACTGTTAAGCCAAGCTTTGATCTTCGAATGTCTGAGCAGATCACATGCTTTGTGTTGAAGTAGAACATATTTTACTACTATTTTACAACAACACAAAGAATTGATTTCTCTTTTCCTAACAGCTGATTGAATAAAAACTAAATACATCAAAGTCAACCGATCACCTAACTGGTGATTTTAAAAAGCTTGTTGTAGTAAATGTTCCTACCAGAGTGGTGAAATGTAGAGTTCAAGTAAGAACAAGAGAAAACCTATTACAGTTGTGGGCTTAATGTTTATGTTTGACATCTTAAAAATGGGTTTAAGGGGATGTGACAGAACTCATTGATGCAGTATTACCTCACAGGGAACAGAGGTGGCACTATCCAAGTGATGCTTGTGACACTTGTTGGAGAGCTTCCAATAGTTTCAAGTACTTTGTTCTTCGAATTCTGAACTTGTAATGATGATAGTTACAGAGACTTTGTCAGAGTGAACTGGCTCATCAGAACCAAGGGGTTCATGTGCCGAGGCTGCCCGGCACATGTCTCTGAACCTTTCCTCCACCGTTTGTCACACTGGAGTTTGTTTTTTATTTTTTATTTTGTTTTAGTAGCTTTTACAAGATGGCACTAGAAAGCTGGTAATCCACATGGACTCAGAGCTGCATCTAAATTTCTCCAGGTTGCTCTTAAAGTACCTTGGTACATCGGTGCACAGAGGACCTGAGATGATGGTTCAAATGCTATGGGATAGTTCTGCCTATGGTTTCCATGGTAGTTAGCATGCCCATTAACAAAAGCCAATGTAAAAAGCTCTCTTCTACCTTAAAACACAAGCTGGTGGTTTGAAAAGGGCTCTTGTAAAATCTCAGACTCAAGAATCGGTAGACAGAATGCATTGGTCACTGCTGACATTTTTGGGCTCGGAGCATGGCAGCAGTCTTGTTCCAGTCTGTATTTCTTTTTCAGAGACGTTCTGACCGCTCCGTCTCGGTCCAGAGATGTCAGCAGTAGCTGGTCTCATCCTGGTCAGCCTTTAAGGCTTCCTTGTTCTTATCAGCATTCTTGAAGACCTTGGTGAGGAAGCAGTTAAACCAAATCTCACACAACTGCTGGCTCTGGTTGGAGTCGCCCTCAAGCAAACTGTGGATCGGATTTTAAGCAGAACAAGAACAAAAGTTTAGTTGGAGCCCTCAGATCTGCTCTTTTTGTTTCCTGTTTTCAGCATCCGTGTCCTCAATTTACTTTTTGGTTTAGACCACAAGGCCTGTGAGCTCTGTAGTGTTTAAAAGGAGAGCTGCACAAACATATCACAGCTATAGTGTCTCTTTCTTTTCTGGGTACAGTTGAATTCTGAGGAGGTCAGACCCCTCGAGGTGTATGCTAGTGCTTTCCATCTGTCACCACATTGCTGGAGCCACTCCGCTCCCAGGCCTGCGCTCCATGTGCAGTGCTGGAAGCATGGCTACGGGGGTGCGTTTCAGCAGTTTCTTTGTGAACATTTGTCCGCTTGAGTCCTCTGAGTGGGGGAAAAAACTACAACTTTTTATATTCTTTGATTTTTAAAGAGGCTTGAGTCCAGTCAGATTCCCAGTCATGAGTTTATTAGTGCAAAAGTGTGGCACGCCCAGTCTGAAGCTCTCATCATTTGCTAACTTCTGATTGACCTGAGCTAACAGAAAGCTGAATGCGATCACTCTCTAACCCTTTCACTGACCAAGAAATTAGGAAGGTATGTGGAGGAATATTTATTCTTTCACTGAGATCAAAGGACCCAGCAGTGGCTCGTCCCCTTTTGAAGTAGCCGATATGGACACAGATTTTTATTGAGAGAGACCTTTACGGCAACATTGCAGCATTTTAAGGATCTGCCAAATTATTTATAGCTGGCTCCTCTAAAATCTGTGCTGTTTGCTCTCAATCACTTGAGTTAAAAGAAGCACCTAACCTCAGCATGTCTCTGCTGACCAGAACTGATTTAATGTAGCCTCAGTTGACCCACTGCTCCATTGTCTCCCAGAATCTTTGGATTTTCATCTAACTCCGACTTCTGATAAATATCAGAAATCCCAGAATTATTTTGGTTGATACAGTGTTGAGTTGCTTTCTGTGCATACTTGTTGGCTATTCAACTTGATCATAATCATTCACCAAACTTGGCCACTTAGGATTCAAGAATGCCAAAGAACTCATGGGTCCTATGAGTGTTCCCCTTGACTTGTTGGAGCCTAAGTGGTTCCACACATTTTTCTCTTTTCAGTATTCTGTCGCACAGGTTCTGAAACGGATTGTGTGAATGCAGATTCAGTTTTATGGGGCTGAATTGAGCTGCACATGTCCGGGCAGGGCTTCTGAGTTTGGAGAGCGTTATGGATTCATAGCTTTCTGACGCAGGAGCATCATCAGAAAATGGAATGAATCTCTTTCCTGTCACGTCTTTCAAACTTTCCTCTGCTGCTTTCCAACATTATGGCTTCAGGCTGGACTCGGTCCTGTTTTTGAATTCTGATAACACAGCATCTTGCTCTGGAGTTTAACACGGCATTCTGAGCCCAGGAAGAAGTGTAATTTACTACACCTCACAGAGCTCCTGCCAGCTTTGCTGCGCTTCAAAATAATTTATTTCTCTGGCTTAATTTGTTATGTATGGTAGAAACAGGGGACAGAAGGTTTCCATTATGCACAAACAATTTACAGCATGGAGTGCATGTAGCTGCAACACTACGCGTGTGTGTGCATGTGTGTGTGTTGGAGGGGAGGCTTCTGTCAATTTCCTTTACTTTTAGGGACCAGTAAACGCGTGATTTTGCTGACTCTTCTGCTATAGTATGAAATACAAATGTGCACATTACAAACTTGTCAGAGGAAATTTTCGATATCTGTTACAGTATAAGAACCATTTTAATTTTAATTTTTAATTTTTTAATTTTTATTTATTTATTTATTTATTTATTTTCACTGCTTGAGGAAACACACATGGCTGGCATTCACATACCTACCTAAACATTTAGTGGTTGTGAAGATACAACATTGAGCAAATATGGAGATGAAAGGAACCTAGCAGGTTTGCTTGGCAGTAATTTGCTGAAACGGATCCTAAAATTATTTCAATTTATCTGCCTGCAATTTTTAGATGTTCATTTAAGCACATAGTTTCCAGGTACTCAAACACTGACGATCAGTTTCCCCTGGAACGCAGTGCCCAGAAAACCCCTTTCATTTAGCAGGCTAGCTGGAGGAGAAAGGCTTGTAATGGATATCGCTCCAGGTTCTACACCAGAACTGGGTTTATTATGTCTTTTATAACTGGACCAAACAGCAGACTACTTGCCGTTTTCCACCAGTGAGCGAAGGGATCGCCAGTCGATAACAAAGAGCTTTAATGCATTTCACTGCAGGCTACTCATCACTCTGACAAAAAGTCCATAAGAGGGATATGTATAAACCATGTCTCTGCTGGAAGAGAAACGTTTTCATAAAAGCCGTTGAAATCCTCCGCCTGTCCTTTCCTGCTGTTTACATTTTATTTCTTTCCCACTGATGCACCACCAGGATCGAGTTGATTCCAATTATTTCCCATCTTCTATTTAATTTCTGATAACGCTATCAGTTATTCAATTTTGGACTCCAGTTTTGCACCCATCTGTCACACAGATTCATTCGTTGGCCTTGGAGATTTGACGCATTCAAGCTGAGGCCCAGCGAAGCAGCAAGGCTCATAGATTAGTTTGAGTCATCAGTGTTTGTGTGTGTGAAGGAGGACGACGGGATGTGGAGCACGAAGTTTAACCAAATGTCGATAAGTGCATTGATGATGTGTCAGATCTTCAAAAATCACATGATTGGCTTATTATGACTCTGGACATTTAAACACAATCAGTGTTAGAAAAGGACAGGTTTTAACCTTAGCTGAGATGTACCACCGTGGTTATTAGATGAAGAAAGGACAATTGCCTCGTATGGCCAGCTGAAGATGATGCATTGCAATTTAACAGTCTGGCATTTTCTCTTCTTTTATGCTGTTCGTGGGATGATGCTCCCAGTTTGCCAGCATTTCAGAAACAATTGATTTTCTCTGGCACGGCCCCCAGAAGTCTGCCTGGAGGAGGATTGAAGTGCAGGCAGTCAGGAATGCATTCATAAGTGCTTCATTGTAGGAAGAAAAACTAATGTGAAATCAAATAAATGGACAGCTTGTTTTTTTGATGGAATGCAAAGAAAAAAGGTTAAGACACCTAAGCATCAATCAAGCTTTGTTGCTGAGAGAAAGCATGTTGAACAAGGACACCTTTAGTCAGAAAGAGAGCTTTTTCATAATGACTCGCTTTGTGCGGAGCTGCCTTAAAAGAGATTTCCGTCTGGTGGATAATGCCACTTTACCAGCCCTTTATTCAATTTTGCACCCTCCTCACATTTATTTGTTTCAGGTCTCCCAGCAGTAATGTCAGAAAGCTGACGATGACCATGATGCATTGCTTGCAGTAATTTACTGTGACAGTCCGCTGACGGACACATTAATGAAATGAGCTGTCGCAAAAGATAATCACTCTTATTTGGGCGCGCTTAATGGGTCAGGGTCTAGAGTTTCAACATTCAAATGTGTGCGCTCACACTTAGGCCCACATCAAATTCTGGTAACATTTCCCTCGGGGTGTATTTTAAAGGCCAAGGGTGTCTTTCAGTGCGGCTGAGTCAGGGTTCCTTTTAAAACCTTGCTGATCTCTTACGAGTGTGTATTCAGCACTTTGGCTGTGTAATGGATCTCTCAGGCAGCTAGTTGACTGCGCTGCTACTCAGCCAGTGCTGATCAAGGACGTTTTTGCCACAGATAGAGATATATTTGTAAAAACTGTTTGGGTTTCAGGGCCACTGTAGACGCTCCACAGCTGGCAGATTATTTTTCATTATGCCTAAACTGTGTTTGAGGTGGCTGGACTGTAAGACGTGCAATACGCCATGGAGAGCAGCCGTACACCCATGCAGCATTCACTGGTGGTTTGTGGTGCATTCAAGCATTTGCAGAACGGAGCGCTTGGGTCAAACATTTAATCTAACAGAAAACAAACTAAAGGAAGCTCTCTTGGCGTGTAAAAATGAGACTTGGCTTCAACACGTCCACATGCAACTTACCCTGCTAACAGAATCCAAAGTGAATGTGCTTTCATAGGTGAGTCGTGTCGGCTCATATACGCTGGAGTCTCGCGCCTCGCGCTGACACGCTTTTGTCTCTTGTTCAGGAAGAAACTGACACTGGTGCATTCACATGAACTCAGGCAAAACAAATGGCTCAGCAGCAGGGGAAATGTGTTACAAGCTCCATCAGTGTTGGGAGCCGACAGTCACGCAGAAGGATGGGACAGGGGTACACGCCTGGCCGACATGCTTAACAATCATTTGATCTGCTGTTTTTCTGGTTTGATATGTATAAATAGATCACATTTTCACACCTAAAAGTTATAACCAAGCGTCATGTTCGTATTGTTTTTAGTCAAGTTTTCTCCATCTGCGTCTGATTGGCCTTTATGAAGTAAAAAAATGCAGCTTGACACAGCGCGGCTCCATCTTGCTGTCGTCACCTGGGATCTGCATCACTCTGAGCTCACATCGACCGGTTTTCAGAGGCAGAATTACGAGCTGCCATGGGGATGATGGAAAACATGCCACTGAGGTAGAAAGGGCGACTCTTTGTTGCGTCCGTATTGCAGAACATTTTTCTGTGCTGTTGTGTGAAGTTTCTTCCGCTCAAACACTGGAGCAGCCCTTTTTTTATCTCATTGTTGGATCTCGTTTCTTCCTCTCACCAAGTGTTCCTTGGCTTGTGTTGCCGTTTTCTGATTTTTGGCAAGAAAAACTTTTTCTAAAATGTTTCCACAGATGAGGAGGGCTGAGTAATTGTTCATTTGATCAGAACTGAGGCCACCTGTTTGTTAGACCGGGGTGAATGGCTTTTCGTGCTGTGAAAACATTCATACTGAACTGGATTCTATAAATGAATGGGATTGTATTGAACGTTGATATATCTGTGTGGTGACTTTAGTAATCACATCTGTAAGTTTAGTCCAGACCAGAGATGCTGCTGTTAAAGCACATTAAGCCCTAGAGTTAATTACATCTAAAATTTAATAAAGTGGGATTCATGAAATATTGAGTGAGCTGCACGAAGCTTAAGCTCCATCCCAAAGGACTCAAGTTCTTCAGAAAATGACATTCTGCATCTTATGTTATAAAAAATGAACATGAGGACTGCAGTGCCTCTGAATCATTGCTCGTGTTAAGATTTCTGCATGGCAGCGTTCATCTGCTTTGATTTGCGGGAACTGCTGTTCTTTGGTTAAGGACACACCCTGAGTGGGTAAAAACAATGAATTCAGGGTTT